CAGCCCATCTAAGGCTCCTAACATTTACTCTCCTGACCATACCGTGCTTTGTAGTAGCAGTGTGTACCATTAACAAGATGCACTGAAACAATTCACCGAGGCTCCTTAGACAGCATCTTCCAAACCTAAGGGTAAATATCAGTCACAGAATCCATCATGTCTGCACCAATTCTCCTAAAAACAATTCACTTAACACCATTCCCATGCCATCTCCTCATAACCCTGCATATTCTCCCTTTTCAGATAACAATCTAATTCCCTTTTGAATTGGCTCAATTCAACCAACCTTGACCAACCCTCAGGCTGCGCACTGCAGATCCTAACTATTTGATATATCAAAACCTTTCCTCATGTTGCTATTTTTTGCTTTGGTAATTAGCTTAAATCTGTGCACTCTCATTGTCAATCCTTTTAAGAGTGGGACCAGTTTTCCCTATCGACTCTATCCTCATGATTTTAAGCTTCTCTATCAAAATTCCTCTTAATCTATTCTTCTCCAAGAAAGCAGTCCCAACTTCACCAATCTATCTTCAAATCTGATTTTTTTTCATCCCTGGAACAATTCTTGTGGATCTTCTCTGCACTCTCTTTAAAGCCTTCACTTCCTTCCTAAGATGCAGTGCCCAGAAGTGGACGCAATGCTCCTGTCATGGTTGAACCAGTGCTTTATGCAAGTTTAGCATGATTGCCTCATTCTTGTACTCTATGCCCCTATTAATAAAGATGAGTATACTGTATTCTTTATTAACCACTTCTCTTAAATACTTGTCCTACTCCTTCAATGACTTGTGACTTAAGTCTACATGCACCAAAGTCCCTCTGCTCTTTGGATTTGGGCCTTTTAAATTATATTGTCTTTCTACATTCTTCCTAGCAAAATGAATCACTTCACACTGCTCCACATTGCACTTCATCTGTCATTTGTCCATCCATTCCACCAATTTGTTCATGTCATTTTGAAGTTCTGTACAATTCTTCTTACGGGTCATAATGTTTCTGAGTTTCATATCATCAGTTATTCACTTTAACTGATTCATTTATTTAGTGATGTTGTGACATTGTAACAATACCATCTACAGTGACCATTATGTATGAGTTATTTAGATTTACACACAAATATAATTAGAATAATTTATCAATGTCCTCAATAATTATCAACTCTCCACTAAACATAGAGCCAAAGTCAAACATAAGGAAAATATTCATTTATTTGGTTAGTTTTTTTAAAATAACTAACACACACATCTGCACATGAAAATCCATCACCTTAAACACACCTTCCGCAAGCTGGTAAGGTGACCATAAGATTGTAAGATATGGGAACAGGAGTAGGCCTTTCAGCCCATTGGGTTTACTCCACATTCTATGAGATCATGGCTAATGTGAAAATCCTCAACTTCACTTTCTTGTCTTTTCCCCATAACTCTTGATTGCCTTACTGATTAAAAATCTGTCTATCTCAGCCTTATTAGTGACCCAGCCTCAACAGCCCTCTGTGGTAAAGTATTCCACAGATTCACAACCCCCTGAGAGGGGAAATTCTTTTTCACCTCTGTCTTAAATGGGCAACTCCTTACTCTGAGATTATGCCCTCTGGTCCTAGACTCTTCCACAAGGGGAAACAACTTTTCTGCATTTACGTCTTATCTGTTTCCTTAACACATACACAGAGTTGAAACATTTTAAAGGAGGCAGTTATTTATTGCATTTCAGATCTCAATCTCAGATTTAAATTTAATGCTTGACCGAGTCAATTACTGTAAGAGCCACTATCTTTTTCTCAATATAGTAGCTCTGGAATTTGCACAATACACAATGTTCAGCATTTACAACACTTTAGATAGTAAAGTAGTCCTTGTCCACATGCAACAAAACCTGGACAATATCCAGGCTCATCAAATGTGGCAAATAATATTCACACCACACAAATTCCAGGCAATGAGATAATCCAACTATCACCGCTTGACATTCAATGGCATTGTCATCACTGAAATCCCCACTATCAACATCCTGCGGGTTACCATCGATCAGAAACTGAACTAGACTCACCATATAAATACAGTGGCTACAAAAGCATGTCAGAGGCTTGGAATTCTGCAGTGAGTAACCTACCTCCTGATTCCCCAAAGACTGTCTATCAATATACAAGGCACAAATCAGAATTGTGATGGAATACTCCCCACTTTTCCAGATGAGTGCTGCTCCAACAATACTCAAGAAGCTTGACACTATCAAGGACAAAGAAGCCCACTTGATTGGCTCCACATTCACAAACATTCAGTCACTCCACCACTGGCGCTCAGTAGTAGCGGTGCATACTATCTGCAAGATGCACTGAAGAAATTTGCCAAAGATTCTTACACAGCACCTTCCAAACCCACAACCACTTCCATCTAAATGGACAAGGGCTGCAGATATATGGGAACACCACCCCTGCAAGATCCCCTCCAAGCCTCTCATCATCCTGACTTGGAAATATATCACCGTTCCTTCAGTGTCACTGAATCAAAATCCTGGAATTCAACCCCAATGGCATTGTGGGTCAACCTACAGCACAGGGATTGCAGTGTTCAAGAAGGCAGCTCATCACATTCTCATCAAAAAACTTACAGTAATTTAGTTAAACACGATTTTCTTTGAAATAAATCCAACTTGGCTTTCTTTAACTAACCTGCATTTGTCTAAGTGACAAGGTTAATCTAACTGGCCTGTAGTTGTTGGGCTTATCATTACACCTTTTTTTGCAATTCTCCAGTCCCCTGGCACCATTCTAGAGTCTATGGAAGACTGGAAAATTATGCCTGATGCCTTCAAAATTTCATGTCTCATTTCCCTTATGTCCTTGATGCACCCTATCCAGTCCTGCTCCTTATCAACTTTAAGTACAGTCAATGCAATACCTTCCTTAATCACTTCTAAATCCTTCCAACATGTTAATCACCTCAACTGTCACTGTAACCTGCTTCCTAGGCCAAGATAGGTGTAAAGTATTTATTTAATACTTTAGCTATGTCCCACCATTTCATCTTTAACCACTCTGACTATTTGTGTACCTACAGAAGATTTTGGGAATCCCTTTTGTGTTAGCTGCCAGTCTCTTTTCCTTCTCTAATTTGTTTTCTTTTTACATCCTGTCTGAACTGTCTATCACAGAATCAGAGAATTGTTACAGTGCAGAAGGAGGCCATTTGTCCCATTATGCTTGCACCGGTTCTATTACCTGCATTTTCCCCATATCCCTGCACACTGCTTCCATCCAAATGATCATCCAATGCCCTCAAATGCCTCAATTGAACGTGCCTCCACCACATTTCTACGCAGTGCATTCCAGACTCTAACTACAATCTTTGTGAAAACAAAATTTCCCACATCACCCTTGTTTCATTTGCACATCACGTTAAATCCATGCCCCTTTTGTCTTTTTTTCTTTTATGAATAGGAACAAGTTCTCTTTAACTACTCTCTTCAGCTCGCTCATAGTTATGAAGACCTCTATCAAATTTCCTCCTAACATTCTTCACTCCAAGGAGAACAGGCCCAGCCTCTTCAATCTATCCTCATACCTGAAATTTCTCAATCCTGGATCCATTCTTTTAAATCACTTTTGCACTCCCTCCAATGCATTCACATCTTTTCTATAGTGTGGCACCCACAACTGTACACAATCTATAGAATATATCTATATCTATATCTATATATAGATATATATATTCAGCCTGATAGTAGCATCTGTCATAAGTACAAGATTTTTCCTTCACTTTAATCACTTTGTTATCTACAGTGCTGTCTACAGAGCTCTGGAATTTTTTGGCCTACTTTTCATTCTTGTAGGAATATACCTTGACCATGCCTGAACTGTATCGCTTCTTTAAGGTAGTCCATTGTTCAGTTACATTTTTCCTGCCAATCTTTGATTCTAATTTATCTGACCCAGATTCATTCTTACCCCAGTGAAGTTTACTTTCCTCAGTTAATTCTCTTACTCTGGATTGTTCATTATTTTTTATCACTCTCAGCATAAGCCATATGATACACTGTCTCCTAAATGTTGCCACACTGACGTGATCCATTTGACCCACCTCATTCTCAAGAACTGGGTCCAGCGGTGCCTCCTTTCTTATTGGACTAGAAACACACTGTGGCAAAATATTTTCCTGAATGTGCACTATGAAATCTTGTATCTTCCCTGGCCTTTTCACTACCACTATCCCAAACTATATTCAGATTCTTAGTATCCCCCATTGTAACTACTTTATAATTACAAACATATGAATTAGGAAGAATAGACCACTCAAACCCTCAGGCTTGCACTAATTCTTGTACCTCTCCACAATTCCCATGCAACATTTGTTCCTCCAAATTGTTTTCATCTGTTTTGACTACACCAAAAGTAACTGCATACTGTATTGCTCCTTAGTTGTAACCAAAGAGATTCTGTTCTTGACACTCCTGAGCCATTCTCTCTCTCCAGCAGTACAATCCCTTTAATCAATATTCTTTCATGTTTTTCAAACATCTTCTATTCATGTAGTCCTGGAATGATTTACTTTTTATGCTGCAGGTTTTACTGCATAGGAGTTTTAATATGCTTCAAAAAACTTATCCATCTGCTATGAGAACACGCTCAACGTGCTGGTAGGAAACCCAAATTTCAAAAAAGGCACAATCATGCGCAAGATTATTGGAGATATATAGACTGATTTTAAAAACGCAGCCATTGATTCTAGCTGTGCAAACCAATGATAACAAATGGTCAGCTGACAGAAACTGCCCATATTAATACCTGCAAAATACCAGTTAAATAGATTAAATAGCATCGTGCTTTAATGAATAATACAAATCACACCAAACTGTGGCATTACAAAGTATAATAAAGATGATTTATGTTTAATTTGATACCGGAACTATGAGATGATCTTACTGCAACTGTGGTCAAACACTGATGAAAAATGGTTGCCTTGTGGTGAAACTAAACTCAATACTTGAAATTGATCGTTCACCTTTTCAAGTAGAGCTTCTCTGTAAGATCCCATCTTTTGTATCAAAAGCTCCCCACGTTCTTTCTTCGCAATGAAGTCTTTAATAACATCCTGTAAGATATATAAAAAGAAACTTTTTTATTACATTTTTGGGTGCATGCACAAATCTCACTCTTTTTAGATTATGATGCACAACTTTGTACACCACGTCTAGCTGTCTCTGCTTTTGGTGAGTTTGTGATAGGTCTTATTAAATACCCATTTGAAATGCTGCTAAACCCTCCCAGATCTTCATTAGCCATTCAAAGCAGTTTTAGAACTAGAAACCCACTGTATTAATTCACTGTTATTTCCAGAATAGGGGCTGAGGATGGGAGTGGCTATAATTCACATGACAACTTTGTAGATTAAACTGGTCTTGGAGCTAGACCGTACTTATCTCAGGACGAAATCATAAGGGATCATTTTGAAATTAAATGAACATTTCCAAGGCTAAACAGAAACTCACTGACAATGATGCCCCTGGAGATGTGAATAGCTTATCTGAGTTCACCTGACAATGAGAACCATCTCAATTAATGGCGGAAACAGTTAAATATTAAACACCGTAAATGAAAAATGATAGGTGGGTTTTTGTTATCTGATATGGAAACATAATGCAACAGTTTTAGGATACATTAAGGTTAGATATAACAGGCTGTGAAACACCATTTTAATGAGAACATCAAGGAGAATGCTGAGAAATACCATCAGAGAAAAAGGGTTCTCGGGAGGGACTGAGAAAGGCAATCTAGTTAAACCAGGCCACCAAGTACCACAACCTGCAGTGACATAAAAGCAAAACAAAGAAGCATTCCTATCGCATTCATTCCTTCCCAGACCTGTTCTGCTCAACCTATAGAAGAAACCTCCCACAATGCAGCTGTAGAATCCATTGCAGCTGGTAAATTCTGACATCAAATTTACCACCCCTTCACCACAGAAAGAGAATTTTCAAGCAAGTAACAGGTTTGCAATGATAACAGACTGATCTTACCTTAATCTTCACAGGTATCTTTTATCCAGAACAACTTTTAATCTTTCTGTGTTTTAGCAAATGACTACCACTTTTTTTGATTATTTTCAGCAATAGTTGTGTACTGAACTAAACTTTATCTTGTTTCAGACCAAAGCTTTGCTCTGTTTTTCTTTAAAATTCGGACATTTTGAACTTAAAAGACTAACAAAAATGGGGGAAAATTGAATCTGCAAATTTACATTTCACAGACCACTTTGTAGACACGCCTGATGCAGTTGTGACAATGGCCGTCAGGAGAACACACTTCTGCTGAAGGCAATCTCTTCAAACATTTAAAACATTTTATTCAAAACTACTCTCAATTCCCGTTTGCTGTCACAAGAACTTATTTTAGCATTGAAAAATACAATTTAAAAATAAAAAGCACTTTGATCTCATTATTATTGCGAACATGATCTCATATGGGCAAGACTCCATGACATAGACAGACCTGTAAAATTAAAGCCTATTGGTGTGAGGCTGGAAGAGCACAGCAGGTCAAACAGCATCTGAGGAACAGGTAAGTCAACATTTTGGCACGAAACATTGACGTACCTGCTCCTCGGATGCTGTCTGACCTGCTGTGCTTTTCCAGCCTCATACCTATAAACTCTGGCTTGCAGCATCTGCAGTCCCTTTGTTTCCAAGACCAGTAAAATTAGTCCCTCCAAAGGTAACAATTGCACACAGCCTATTACAGAGAAGGATAATTGCTGGAAGATTATAATCATTGAAACTCCTATGGAGTGAAACTGGACATTAGAGGTGACTCAAATCAAGTTTTTTTTTAATTCATTCATGGGATGTGTGCATCGCTGGCTGTCCAGCATTTATTGCCCTTCCCTAGTTGGCGGCTATAGTCCACCTGCTGTGGGTTGACCCACAATGCCATCAGGGAAAACGATATATTCCAAGTCAGGATGGTGAGTAGCTTGGAAGGGAACTTGCAGGTGGTGGTGTTCCCATGTATCTGCTATCCTTGTTCTCTGGTCATGGGTTTGGAAGGTGTTGTCTAAGGATATTCGGTGAATTTCTGCAGTGCATCTTGTAGATAGTACACACCGCTTCTGCTGAGTATCAATAGTAGAGGGAATGAATGTTTGTTGATGCCAATTAAGCGTGCCGATTTCTCCTGGATGATGTTAAGCTCCTTTAGTGTTGTTGGAGCTGCACCTATCCAGGCAAGTGGAATTAGTTTCACTGTTTGCTGAATGACACCCTTGAAATTCCATTCCATTAGATACATAGAATGGAATTGTAGGCAGTAGTTTTGATGTGATACTGCTTGTCTACGTACCCACCATGTTGAATTTCAAGTCTAAAATCCACAGGGAGATAAGGAGAGAGATTGAGAGAGATGCTAAATTAGGAAATGTTTTTGTTAAGATTGAAAGGTCTTGTATTTAAGAAAAAGGTGGATAGGTGAGAATATAGGACAGGGTGAAATGAAGGTAAACTGGCAAGAGACGTTTGGTCGATACTCAGCATTTTTATTTCAGCTTGATGTCTTTCAAAATATTGCTCTGCTTTTACTAATGCTCCTATTTTATTCAAGAGCACATATAATTAATGGAGGTTTTAGTGTATTTTTGGCAGAACAGACTTGATGGGCCAAAGGGCCTCAAATGAATTGTATGAGTCTATGACTCCATGAATCGTCAGCAGAACTAAACACTCTCTTTTGCCTTTTAGATCATAGAGGTACCTTGAATCAAGAAGTTAACCACTCTGATTACCTACTGGGCACTTCCAGATCAACAGCAACTGCCATGTTTTCACCAATTTATAATCTGGTGCCTTACTGTTAAGCCACCAATAACAAAACAAAAATCCATTTGCAAAGAATTAGTCAGAAAATTGTCACCAGAGACGGGAAGGAAGGAAGACTCATTTCTACATGGAGGGGTAGAAGCAAGCAACCATGACTGAGGCCCCAAAGGGCCCAATTTTCAAAAATAATGGGAGCATGGATCTCTTTCTCAGGTAATGAAAATGGCTTCCATACAAATTGTTAAGATGAGAAAAGTGTGCTGCAACATACTGCAGGAAGTTTCTCATGATGTACAGAACACTCCAAGACTAAGTGTAGAGCCATCCATTTGCTGAACAGACAAATGGATGCTGAGAGGGACCTAAAGTGCTGCCATGGAAACCCTGGTGTAGCAGTGGAGAGGGGGGAAGAAAGTCCTTTCCACATCCCATACCCCTCCATCCTCTATCTGAATATCAATTCTGTCACCAGAGGAAAGAAGAAGCTGAAATGTGAGGTTCAATTTGTAGCCAAAATCAGGTGTCAACGGTTTGTGAAACAAAGGTGCCTTATATATTATTTCTCATTGAACGTCATGTGGGAGAGATGAATATCTGCTTTGGATGTAGCCTTCGATGCAGGGCCGTCCTCCCATTGCTAGCAGCTGTACCTGCTCTCTTTCCCTTAATTCTCTGCTTACCAAACCATGCAGAATTGCAATTAAACTGTAACAAAAAAGCATTATGCAGGCAAAATCATCAACCTTCAGTAGCAGTACACCAACCAGACTCTGCACTGTAATATCTGTGTTATTTTCTTACTGTGGTAATCTGGCAGGTTAAGAATGAGAGTAGGAATTAGGAATTACTTACCTTTCACAACCATTCACCATATTTCCCATTCACTGCCTCCTCTATCCACCTCCTGATCACGTCTTCAACACCTTCACATCAATCTCAATCTTGATCCTTCACCCCACTTCTGGGATGCGATTTAGACCTGACAACAGTGTTCTTGTCCATCTGTTAAGTTGGCCAAAGTCCCGTGCCACCTCCTTGGGGGAAGGCCCATTGAACTAACTGCCAATCAGGATGCCAGGGATGGAAATCTCTCCAATTTCTGCCCTGAGAGTTCTCTTGCAGAGGGCAGAGGATAGGCTGTCAACTTCAAAGGCAGGAGGCTGGTTCTCAGCCGGTACCCTGTTCTTAATTCAGAGCCCTCGATGAGGTGCCAAGTTCATTGAACAACAGATCTCCCACAGAAGCCCACTGCTGTTATGACTCACTTGGAAAATTGTGGGATCAGAGGCTGGTTACCACGGTACAGCACAGCAACAGCTCCACAGATGGTTGAGTAAGAAATGCACCAAGCCACTCAGACGACTGCCGGAGACCAGGCACCTGCTCTGACCCTGACAGGAGAGGATCCAAATGTGCAAAGAGGTGCTGTTGAAGAAGCCACAGTGAGGATCAGAATCGACAGAATGGCCCTCATAGACCAGAAGCTGCAGCAGTGCAACCAATCATAAGAACATAAGAACCAGGAGCAGGAGTAGGCCATCCGGCCCCTCGAGCCTGCCCCGCCATTTAATAAGATCATGGCTGATCTTTTTGAGATTCAGCTCCACTTACCTGCCCACACACCATAACCATTAATTCCTTTACTGTTCAAAAATTTATCTAGCCTTGCCTTAAAAACATTCAGCGAGGTAGCTTCAGCCGCTTCACTGGGCAGGGAATTCCACAGATTCACAACCCTTTGGGTGAAGAATGTCCTCCTGACCTCAGTCCTACATCTGCTTCCCTTTATTTTGAGGCGATGCCCTCGAGTCCTAGTTTCACCTGCTAGTGGAAACAACCTCCCTGCCTCCACCCTATCTATTCCCTTCATAATCTTAAATGTTTCTATAAGATCTCCCCTCATTCTTCTGAATTCCAATGAGTATAATCCCAGCCTACTCAGTCTCTCCTCATAATCCAAACTTCTCAACTCTGGAATCAACCGAGTGAATCTCCTCTGCACCCCCTGCAGTGCTAGTATATCCCTTCTCAAGTAAGGAGACCAAAACTGCACACAGTACTCCAGGTGTGGCCTCACCAGGACCCTATACAGCTGCAGCATAGCCTCCCTGTTTTTAAATTCCATCCCTCTAGCAATGGCAGACAAAATTCCATTTGCCTTTTTAATTACCTGCTGCACCTGCAATCCTACTTTTAGCGATTCATGCACAAGGACACCCAAGTCCCTCTGCACAGCAGCGTGCTGCAATTTTTTACCATTTAAAACATAGTCCATTTTGCTGTTATTCCTACCAAAATGGATGACCTCACACTTGTCAACATTGTACTCCATCTGCCAGACCTTTGCCCACTCACTTAGACTATCTATATCCCTCTGCAGACTTTCAGTGTCTTCTTCACACTTTGCTCTACCACTCATCTTAGTGTCATCTGCAAATTTTGACACACCACACTGAGTCCCCAACTCCCATCATCTATGTAAATTGCAAATAATTACGGTCCCAACACCGATCCCTGAGGCACACCACTAGCCACTGATCGCCAACCAGAAAAACACCCATTTACCCCTACTCTTTGCTTTCTACTAGTCAAGCAATCCTCTATCCATGCCAATACATTACCTGTAATACTGTACAACTTTATCTTATGTAGCAGCCTTTGGTGTGGCACCTTGACAAATGCCTTCTGGAAATCCAGATACACCACATTCACAGGTGGCCCATTGCCCACCATGAAAGTAATATCCTCAAAGAATTTCACCAAATTAGTTAAACATGACCTACCCTTCATGAACCCATGCTGGGTGTTCCCAATGGAAGAATTTGTATCCAGATATCTTACTATTTCTTCCTTAATGATAGATTTAAGCATTTTCCCCGCTACCAAAGTTAAGCTAACAGACCTATAGTTACCCGTTTTTTGTCTACTTCCTTTTTTAAACAGTGGCGTCACATTGGCTGTTTTCCAATCTGCAGGAACCACCCCAGAGTCCAGTGAATTTTGGTAAATAATTACTAGTGCATTTGCTATTTCCCCCATCACTTCTTTTAGTACCCTGGGATGCATTTCATCAGGGCCAGGAGACTTGCCTACCTTTAGCCCCATTAACTTGCCCAGCACTGCCTCCTTAGTGATAATGATAGTTTCTAGGTCCTCACCTGCTATAACCTTCTTGCCATCAGTTTTCGGCATATTATTTGTGTCTTCCACTGTGAAGACCGACACAAAATAACTATTTAATGCCTCGGTTATTTCCTCATTCCGAGTTATTAAATTGGCCTTCTCATCATCTCAAGGACCAATGTTTACCTGCGACACTCTTTTATGATTTACATATTTATAGAAACTTTTGCTGCCTGTTTGTATATTCTGAGCTAGTTTACTCTCATAATCTATTTTACTTTTCTTTATAATTTTTTTTGTGGCTTTCTGTTGGCCTTTAAAGATTTCCCAATCTACTAGTTTCCTACTACTCTTTGCTTTTTTGTGTGTTTTTTTTTAATCTGATACTTTCCTTTATTTCCTTAGACATCCATGGCTGGCTCTCTCTTTTCCTACATTTCTTCCTTATCACTGGAATATACTTCTGCTGAGCACTGTGAAAAATCGTTTTGAAAGTCCTCCACTGTTCCTCAATTGAACCACCATAAAGGTTTTGCTCCCATTTCACCTTACGTAACTCCTCCCTCATCTCATCATAGTCTCCTTTGTTTAAGCACAGGACTTTGGTACTGGATTTAACCTTCTCACGCTCCATTTGTATTTTAAATTCGACCAAATTGTGATCACTCCTTCCAAGAGGATCCCTAACTGTGAGATCATTAATTATTCCTGTCTCATTACACAGAACTAGATCTAGGATAGCTTGTTCCCTTGTAGGTTCCATTACATATTGTTCAAGAAAATTATCGCGGATGCATTCTATGAACCCCTCCTCAAGGCTGCCATGACCGACCTGGTTTGACCAATCGATATGTAGATTAAAATCCCCCATGACAATTGTGACCGTCTGTATGCCTCCATGGACAAGTTGGAAGCTGTCTCAGACAGACCGGTCAAGTACACTCAGAGGATGCCGGAGACACTACAGACTTGCACACCATTGCCCCAACCACTGGTCCTCAGAACCACCGGAGTAGCAAAAATAGGGTGGGGAATCTTGATCCCAATTCAAGTGTCCTGTCCTCACATGAATAATTGAGTTTAATCCAGAAAAATGTGAAGTAATGCATTTCAGAAGGTCTAATCCAGATGGAAAATATACAGTAAATGGCAGAACCCTTAAGAGTATTGATAGGCAGAGGGATCTGGGTGTACAGGTACACGGGTCACTGAAAGTGGTAACGCAGGTGGAAAAGGTAGTCAACAAGGCATACGGCATGCTTGCCTTCATTGGCCAGGGCATTGAGTTTAAAAATTGTCAGGTAATGTTGCAGCTTTATAGAATCTTAGTTAGACCGCATTTGGAATATTGTGTTCAATTCTGGTCGCAACACTACCAGAAGGATGTTGTGCCTTTGGAGAGGGTACAGAAAAGATTTACCAAGGTGTTGCCTGGTATGGAAGGCATTAGCTATGAGGAGAGGTTGGAGAAACTTTGGTTGTTCTCACTGGAACGACGGAGGTTGAGGGGCGACCTGATAGAGGTCTACAAGATTATGAAGGGCATGGACAGACTGGACAGTCAGAAGCTTATTCCCAGGGTGGGAGAGTCAGTTACCAGGGGCCATGGGTTTAAGGTCCGAAGGGCAAGGTTTAAAGGTGATGTACGAGGCAAGTTTTTTTACACAGAGGGTGGTGGGTGCCTGGAACTCACTGCCGGGGAAGGTAGTGGAAGCAGATACGATAGCGACTTTCAAAGGGCATCTTGACAAATACACGAATAGGATGGAAATAGAGGGATACAGTACCCGGAAGGGAGTTTTAGTTGTAATGAGCAGCATGTTGGTGCAGAAGAGCCTGTTCCTGTGCTGTAATTTTCCTTATTCTTTGAATACAGGGTTGTGTCAGGAGGCACTCAGTCAGGGGAACAGCCACACAGAGGCACCTCAGCAGTTTCCAATGAGGTCACTACAGGGGTAGCCAGACCCTCCACCTCCACCCTAACTGCCTCCATCCAATCCTTGGAGGTTCACACTCAGGAGAGTCAACTTACCTCTGGTAAGAAGACCCTCAACATGTCTGAGCCATCCAGACACCAATGCCCTTAGGGACACCACACCAAACCATCCAGACCAATAGGCTCCTTCCTTCCACCTCATCTAAAGAACGGGGTGTTCCCTATGATACGGCGAGAGCGAGAGGAAGAGGAATGTGTGCTGAGGCTATGTCAGTGGCAGAAGGAACAATGTTCTGTAACTTCATTGTAAACCTTTGTTTATCATCATTTACATGGTTGTTTGTGTCTCTTTATAGGGCCCAGATGTTTCATTGCACCTCCAATAACACTTAGAGTTATAGAGTAATACAGCATGGAAACAGTCCCTTCGGCCCAAACCAGCCCATGCTGCCCACTCAGCGAGTTCCAATTGCCCGCATTCGGTTCATACCCCTCTAAACCCTTCCCATCCATGTACCTACCCAAATGATTTTTTTTAAATGTTACTATTGTAATAAAGACTTCATGGACACTACTGAGGTGCAATAAATAAGAGTGTGCACTATGCACCTAATACATCATGTTGGAGCAGGGGGAGTATCTGTATGTACATGGCAGTCTGAGTACACATTCAGGCTGTCTCACTTAAATCACAAATTGTTATAGATTCAGATCCTCAAAGATATCTGAGTGGTTCACTTACTGATAGGTAGAAAGTTAGACAGGCACTAGTCTGAACATTACAGTAAGTGATGTAATAGTACATGCATTTAATGTGTTGTTATGCTTTATCCATTAATTTTCAATGGAATTATGTCTGTTAGAATATAGAAGAGTTGAATAGGAATACATTATGTACTTGTATGATCACAGTAATTTTCAGGCTGTGGTTTTTATATGTATGTTCAGCAGGAAATGGCTTTAAATTACTCCTCCCATTGAGCATTCTTTGCATTAAATATTCAGACAAGCAAAATATGCTGTAGTTAATCAGATTTACATAATCTATACATTTGTTGTATATCAAAAGCAGACAGGCATGTTTTACTGCAGATGAGGGAGTGGTAGAAATCTCAGCTATACCAGCACATATTGGAATATCTGGGACAATGAGTCAGGGTAGTTCTATGATCCACTGGTGGCTGGTTAGGTTCCTAACTACAGCAAGTGTATGCAGAGGTGCCATTTTTTGAATGAGTCTGTAAACTGAGGCCTCATCTGCGCACTCAGCTGAATGGACATGAAAGAACCCAAGGCACTATTCTGAAGAAAAGTAATGGAGTTAATTAACATTTGCAAACCTTATGTCAGTCTTATG